TGCAGTTTAAATAGACCGCCAGATTGGAATGGGTGCGCTTGGTTAGTGATTATGGAGTGAGGCATGTCATGTGTGTATAGCAACGCAGTTTGAGTTGACTGCCTGAACTAGCTCGCAGGCTTCGCTCCATATATGAAGATAGATTTTTTAATTAAATCATAATCTGAGTTTGAGGTACCCCCCTTGGGTACAGTACCTATTTGGGAATCACAGATCCACAATGGTGAGTAATTCTTGTCAAGGTATTAAACCTTACATGCAGCAGAATCCTTCTGTGCCAGAGCTGATTATAAGTTTAACATGTGTATAACTGTGTTATACAAGTTTACACGTGATGCCGCGTTTGTGTCCTATAGGAGTTATCGTAATTACTTGTAAATGGCATTCATGTTTTCATTCCAGATGTAATTACAACTGGGAAACTGCCTCACATCAGCCAAGTGTAATTAAACACACATTTAATGGAGCACAGTATTTCAATCCAACTCTATAACTATCCAACCATCGTGATAACGTGAACACACGAGTCATTAACATGGGAATCTTTCCCAGCCGTCAAATTCGTCTTGAAAGTGCCATGACTGCAGCACCAGCTGGGGAAGAGCTCTCATTACAGGAGTGAGTAAGGAGTGAGTCACAAGCTGATGTCTTTGTCAGTGAACACGCTGCAGCACAACAGACAATGTTGAGATGCTTGCCTAGTCATCAGGGGTGAAAAATGCTCAAAGAAAACAAAACAAAGACCATGCTCCACTTTTTTTCACCAGGATATGCTAAACAGGCTACACCAGACACACAGGCAGATTGAATTAATAAGCACTATAGATCAAAAGAAGACTGTTGTGTTTCCCAGCGTTCAGTAAGTTTTCCTGAGCAAACAAGTGAGCAGGAAAATATTTTGCTTGTCTTCTGGTGTTCTGTCTGACTTGTGCAAGAGGGATTTCATATGCTCCTTTAAAAAATAATTTGTGATGTTCTTCAGGAAATAGGCCTGTTATTATAAACTTACAAATAGAATCATCACAAGCTTTCAATCATTACAGAGTTATTTTTTTTTTTAGATTTGAGCTGTACTGGGTGTCTGACTCACCCTTTCCTCTTAATGGATGAGTCAGGTTTCATTATTTTAGCAACCATTTCTTGCCTGCATTTGTGGATCATGCCAAAGATTATTGTGGGAGAGCATTGAACCTGGCTTTATTTGCTCTCCTTGCTTTCTAACTGGAAGCTATAACACTGAACTACAGTCTTTTTCAGCAACTGCAGTTCTTGGTTATTGTATTTCACTCAAGGATGGTGCAATACCCTGTAAACTTCCACCTCATGAGCTCTCACACTTCCCCACACATGACAAAAACTATGGAGTTTTACAGCTTCAGTTAAATTGTTCACAGGTGGATTAAAGGCAAAAAGAGGTGTGGAACAGCTTCTGCATGTGGTACAATTTGTGTTGTAATTAAAGCTTGCATGGCACAGGTCCCCTCACTTAATGTTTTCTAAGTCTGATTCTTTTCTTAGCTACTGTTGTTTTCACTGCAGTAACCATTCACTCAGTTTTTTTTTCTTCCTACAGGTGGTGATGACAGCGTGAAAGCAGAAGACAGACACAGGAAAGATTATTGCAAATGTTGTAGAATTTTTTTGCTGGCAGTCATATTGTTTTCCCAACCTGCCAGAAGATTGGGGTGGTTGTAATACCAAGTAATCCAGAGGTTCCAAACTCATCTTAAATCTTTTTGAGCTTTGTTTGGCCGGATGAAATGCCTTCAAGGCACCCTATATAAGAAATTTATACCAGCGAGGAAAATGGAAAATAAAAAGCGAGAGAGTAACCTCCACCCACTAAGGTCATTCCCTGTCCATTTTCCTACAGCTGTAAAATAAGAATCAATTCAATTTCCATACATACTTAGTTAATGTATTGAATTTGATATGCTTCATGATGCTGCCTTAGTTAAAAAATAATAATAATAATAATAAAATATGCAAATTTTAGGTTTTAATGGAATTGCTTGGGGCATTAAAAAGGTTTTGGACAGATTGCAACCTCAGATAAAGAGCGTCATTTAGCTTATGTGACTCAGGCACTAAAAATAGCACTATGAACAGGTGCTGGTTTTGAACATATCTTGTGAATTTGTAAGTGGGCTTAAAGGAGTGGGTACTTTCTTTTTTACTGAGAGGAAACTGGATCTCTCGAAGGTTCCAAACCATAAAAAAAAAAAAAACAGACACAGATGTTACGTTCTCTAAATGTTCTCATCTTGGGCGACAACACTAGCCAGGCCTCAGGCTGTTTCGCTCCATTTCCATAGCATTCCCTAAGGCTATACAGCTATAGATCACAAAAGCTACAAACTTATTCCCATCTCCAAACTGAATGCTGCTGTAGAGCTTTACCTATCCCTCCATATCCAGTCTCTATAATTAGACTGCATATTTTTTGTGGGTATATTTGCTTTTACTTATCTCTTTCAATAAGGAAACCTCAGTGGAGAAAAGAAAATTGTGTCCCTGTTGAATCACACTGATTAGAAGACTGCTGTATTTGTCGGTTATTCATGATTTTGACAGTTATTCATGAGCAATAGTTGGAAATTTCCACACTAGAGAGAGACGTGCATCCAAATCCTCATTTAGTAGTTAACAGTGAAGAAAATGTGGAATTAGATACTGTACATACAAATGTAATCATCATTAAAACCATAAAAGACACCTGCAAGTTTGACTGCAGCCATCCTAGTAAATAATGTGTGAAATATAATGTATGACAAATAATGAACTTGTGGCAGTTTGATTTGAATTGAGAGGCATGAAAGAGCTTGCGAATTAAAGTGTGCAATTATTTGCATATTTACTGTACTTTTGTCTGTACCGCATCAGGATCACTGTTTACCTGGCAGCAGCAGTTTCTTTATGCAGGCGGATATCCAGGCTGTTACTGCTGCTGAAAAGCCAGTGAATAATGCAGGTCTGGCTGAGAACCTCTCATACAGAGAGAAAAAACTCTCTCATCCATGACTCTGCAAAGAGTATAGGCGGTGCGTTTCCAGGAAAGCCCTTTCAAATGCAGTGAAAGTGTTTTCACATAATAATGTTTTCACATAACTCCAGCTTTTATCTTGCTTCTGCACTTGTCGGTTTGTCTGTAAGCAAAGGGGAGAGAGGGGGGCAAAGGGAACTAATTTTATAGATTTTGAAGCCCTCAGGAGAGCCAGATACCTCTAAAGATTTATTTATCAACTCAAAAGCAAGCGAGTCAGAGAGGGGGAAACACGAGATTCTACAGAAGAATCTATGTACGTACAGCTATTCAAAGTCGGTCGGAGGCAGCAGCTGGGCGGCTGAGGAGAACATATCTTTTTTTGGAAGATAAGATAAAGTAAAAAGCCAACAAAGCAGTTATCATTGCGGATAACAGATTCATGCCACAAGTTACATTATTCAGCTATATGGGCCTGCAAACTGTCAGAACGGAACATTTCTTAATCCTTTGCTGTAGGAATAATTCAACATTTTGGTAAATATGCTTATTTTTAACAAAGCTACTGCAAGCAGCCAGTTGGATTAGCCTTGTAGCCTGGAAATAGGGGGAAACAGCTATCCTGACTCTGTGCAAAGGTAACAAGATCCACCTACAACTGCAACAACTCAAAACACAACTTATCGTTTTTACACTTTATTTTTTGTTTTGGACTAAACAAATATTAATAATGAATGTTAAATAATTTGTGTTAATTAAGAGCTTTGGAACTGGATGCACAGAGCCAGGTGCTTTACCTCATTTCCAATCTTCATTCTAAGATAAGCTTTGGAAATCTGACTTGCCAAATTTAAAGTTTCACATTTTTTAGGAAACATGCACTTTCCTTGTCTGTAAATCATGGCTGCAGCTTTGATAGATAAAAAAAATTAGATATAACATGTTAATTAAT